AGAGAGCGGCGAAATTTTAATAAAGAGAGTAATGGGTTTAATTTCTGTCGACGGGGGCCGGTGGGGAGCGGTTAAACGCTTCTTGGTTAAACTGTCTTTGTTTCGTCCTCCCCTCCCTCCATTGAACTCTGAATCTTTATCCTGACAGCTATTCCAGGCAGACTGTCACTGCCACGTTTTTAAGCTTAGAGCCTGTGAGCTGATATAATGTTTATCATCTCGTTTCCCTGTGTTTTGTCCCATTCTCACAGGTTTTATTGTTGAGACTCTATGAGACAGACCAGCATTGTAACGATACAGCTTGAAAAACTATTCATTGTGTGTATTTGTGTCCAGTCCCTTCACTCTGAAACCTAGAACAACCAATTACCTTCAGAAGTCACCTGATTATAACCAGAGATCATATGTGTGTAACTAAATCCCAATCTAACAGCAGATTCTCTGTTTCTGATGTCAGAGGTCTTTCAGGTCTTTTTTCCTCTGGTCATACTGACCATGCTCGTCTTTGTACTTGGAACTATTGTTTTCCATTGACTTCCAGAAGGGCAAAGAGGAGGTTCTGAGTATCTTAAAAAAAGTAGCCAATAAAATTTGACACAGTAAAAAATAGTCTTATAGACATCAATACTGTGATGTCTAAATATAGGGGGAGTGGTAGCCTAGTGGTTAGGGCATAGAGCTTGCAATCCTGAGGTTCTTTGTTTGAGCCCCACTCCCACAGACTGACACTCTGGCTCCCTGAGAAAGACCCTAATCCCACTCTGCTCCCTGGGCGCCCCACGATGGCAGCCCACTGTTTTCCAAGGGGATGAATTAAATGCAGAGGCAAATATCTCCAATGTGAGATCAATAATGTTTAATTATTGTAAAATGCAGGTTACATATACACACACATATTAATCCACTGCTTATATTAATACAAAAAAATTAAAACAAGAAATTAAAACAAATGGAAAACAAACCACATAAGAACCATTTTTTAATGGAAAAAAAATATGAAATAAATACGTGTGCATTCACAAATTCACAATTCTCAAAGTCTGGAGAAGACTGCTTTAAGGGACGTTGTCAGGTTTATTCAATGATGATTATAAAATGAATGTGTGCTTATGAAACATTTGTGCAAGGGGATGCTCCACTCCTGTCTCATGATCCAGTCAGAAGACCATCCTGCCTTGTCATTCTGATGGAGCATTCTGTCTTCATGAACTGGTCAATTGTTCTGTCAGAACAATACTTGACACATGGTTTGTAACCATGTGTCATGTTCTGTTAATAAATGCTCTGCAGAGGAAGTCCAGTGGGAGACAGTATGTTTGATTCTGGGGTTCAACTGTCTCTCCTTCCTGCAGGAATAGTATCGATAAGTCTGTATTTCAGTTCTTGTTAAGAAAAAAACAAATCATGAACCCGACAGACATCAAGAGGTCCTGCAGCTTTACTGGAGCGTTTCTAATGTTGGGTGCTGCACAAGCATCCAAAGCAGCAGGTGCTGGAGTTGAGAAATCTGGAACTTTTGCATTAACCAGTCAGAGAAGCTATTCCGGGAAGACAGAAACTACTTTTTAGTAGTTTTAGTCTCTTTCTGAAGGGGTGTCAGCCTAAAACTATGAAAAAAGGTAATCACCCTCGGCTTGCAATTCACCTCTGCCTGTGTGCATAGTTGTACCGTCACAGTTTTAAAACAGACATTCTTTCTGTCTTCTTTTCTTTAGACTCATTGTCAGCTTATGGTGGACATGGGCATAAAGAGGTTTTTGGACTTTGGATTCCCCTGACTTGAAAATGCATAATTTAAGTATTGGACACTTAAACTCTCTGAAAATTATGAGATTAAGATATTTTAGGTTTTGGACACATGTAGAAGTTACATGTCCCCCAAGTTAGACACCTTTGCTCTGTGGTTACCAGATGAATCCTTTGGGAAACACAGATTATTTCTTTGGTTAAAGATCATTATAGATGTTTTTAGCAGACTAAAATCTGTTTCTTTCCCACATAATCTGGAGGACTGATTGCAAAGCAGAGGATAAGTACACTGACTAATGATGATGATTGTGATAATGGTCTAGAGATATGGAGCAGCTCAAAACCATTTACAAGCAGTTATTGATATAACCTTACCCATTGCTACTGACTGGGTCCAGAGTAGCTCATTACCAGAGGGTTATGACTGGTTTCTTACTATTTTGTTTACACCTCATTGAAGCTGGGTGAAGATAAACTTCAGTAGGCTGCTATTTCTGCTCTGACCTAACAGGACAGGTGAAGGTCTGCTCTAAAGTGCGGAAGGGATTTTGTTTCAGCGGCATTTACGGCATTTTAACTCCATATTTTGCTGTTCTGCAGGTAGTTAAAAGGACATTATTTAAAAAACAGAAACTTTTGTTGGAATTGAGTCTGGTGCAGCAGCAAAATGTGTTCCAACCCCTCCGACTCCTCCCTCAGAGTCTAAATAGGATTCTGATTTTATTGCAGTTGCTCCCATCGAGCTGCTCACTCGTTATATGAGATCAGGGGTTTGTACATGGCGTTGGGAGAGGATCCAGTTTGGGATTTGCTGCTGATTGCTACTTGTATCTTCCCACTGCATTATCTGTGTTTATCCTCGGTTGCTCCTTATTCCTCCAAAAAGTCTCTTTGGGAACCCACAATGAATCGGTCTTTGATCCACGGCGTGAGGAGGTAATAGATTCTCTGCTTCCTGTCTGGGAGGCGGGAAGAGGAGGACCTCAGCGGCAAGGGCCACGTCCCTCAGCACTCTGTCACCCTTCACACATCATCATCCCCACCTCAGCCTGAAAGCCTTTTTCTCCTCCACCGCCGCTCCAAACCTGCTCCGACAAATTTGATTTAGCAGCTCGCCCCGATCCCATTCCCGGAAAAGAAAACAAATATTGTTATAATGGTAATAACATCTATTCGGAGCAGCGGCGACAAACAGGCGGAGCCTTTGAAGGAGACCCCTCTGTGCTGCCGGATAGCTACCTTATTCTTATTCATGAAGGCCGCGGTTATTCATATTAGCACAAACTAGCTATTCTACTCAGCAGCATTTGAAGTGTCAATCATCCTTACAGGATACAAGAGGCAACAGTGACAAAAGCCGAGTGGGCAGTATCGGCTGACAAATTGTCCCCAAAGTCAAATTTGACAGCCTTTTATGATTAATGGGCTTGATTATGGAGAAGTATCTCCCTGAACTCATTTCCGGGTGTTTCTGCAGCTCTACTCGCTTTTTCAGGAGGAGGAGGAGGAGGCTGATTGTTTGCAGAGGTGAATGAGTGGAGAAGGGAAAGAAAGGACTGGTTGGATTGAATTAAGGAAGAGTGAGGTGGCTCACCTAATGAACACACTGAGGTCTGCGACGCTCCTTGAATGCTCCTCAGGAATGTGGTCTGACAGAGCAGGAACGAGAGCTTTGCTCGGTCCAGGTTCTCTTCAATGCCCACTTTCATGTACAGATCCGAGCCAGTTATTCTCTAAATGGTAGAGATGCTTTAAGGAAACACAAATCTGTTTCAAAAGAAAACTGATCTACTGAATATTCAAAAGTTCAAACAAAATCTATACTTTAAAACATTTTATTTAAACACCATTGATGAATAGATGTAGATGGACATATCAAGACCTCAAACATTCAGAAACAAATACATACTCATATGTTTTAGCCTCTTAATATCCACCTCATTATGGGAAATTCTCGCCTATTTTGCATACCCAAACGGAAAAGCAAATAAGTTAACCCAAATTACATGTGTGATACATTATTTAAAAGCTAACACCTTCTAAATTATATTTGAAAATTGGGTGAGTAAAACACCCAAGCTGCATCAGTTCAAACAAGACTCAAAGTTGTTTTTTTTTTATTCTTGAAAACAATAGGTTTTTTTTTTAACAGCAGTTATAAAGACCTGCTTGCTTGTTTTGGCTGCTTTTTCATGGAACATTTTGACATGCTGCTATATCTCTGTTATCTGTGCTTTGGTCCTCGATGTGTCCATAAAATGAACTACCGGTAGGTGGTTGAATTGTGGAGAATCTAATGATGTCTAACATGTCTATATTGGTAAACATCTTACCAGTGTCATTTTCATTTATTCTGAGTTATTATTTGTAAACGCTTTAAACCGGTGGGTTTTGAAAGGTTAGCTTCTCTCTTTATTAAAGCTTATTTTAGACTTTTATTGTTTAGATCTAAGTGCTTTGTTTCAGTTTTGCATAAGTTAAATTTTACTAAGTTTAATTAACCGGTTACTGATTGAGAATTTGAAACACTTAACTTTCTGCCAAATATTCTATTGAAATGCACTGAAGTGGTATATTAAATGATACTGAAGCTGGTTCCAGCTCTATTTTATCTTTGCTTTCTCAGGGACAGCTAACTATATTTTGTTCATTTTTAGAGTAAGACGTTTGCAGATTTCAAGGGGCCACTGATCTGTGTCATAGTAGAGAATTATTAAACACCAAGATGTAATCTAAGTAGGGCTGCAACAAACGTATGTATAATATAATAAATAAATTTTGCAGATTGATTAATTCGTTGATTATTTTTTCGATTAATCGATTAATAATCACATAGCAAAAGGTCCCTTAAAGAAAACGTAACAATATTGCTATAATTAGATTCATCACGAATAATCTGATTAATTAGTCCGGCCCTAAATCTAAGGCTCACATCCAGGAAGAGGCTCAACTAAATCTGAAAGCTTCCTTTAGAATCAGTTTAAACGTAAACCACAAAATTCAGTCAAGAAAAACGGGGCAAACACAGCGCAACAAGAAGAAAATCAGCAGACCTCTGGAAATGTTATGTGATAAGTTCATGAGAAATAGAGATGATCTGTCATATAAAGAGAAGAACCAGGTGTAAAAACCTTTGAAATAACCTTATATGGTCATACGGTCATTGGATCAGTCCAGGCTCTGTCTGGGTTCCATCAGGAGATTCTCTGTGCTGGACTCTCACTGCCATCCTCTCTCTGTTTGACCCACAGCACTCAACGAGCCCACTATCGACTACGGCTTCCAGAGGCTACAGAAGGTCATCCCTCGTCACCCCGGGGACCCTGAGAGGTTACCAAAGGTCAGTGCAGACGGCTTATTAAGTCAGAGCGCAGGTGAGAGGTCAGGATGCAGGTTGCACCCAGGATGTACCTGTCAATCTAAACTGATGCTTACTATCCAGTTTAATAGATTTTCTGTCTTATTATGGTTCATTTTGAATCTTTGTGAGCCACCTGCAGGACAAAGCTGTTTGTGTTGATCGGTGCTGTTTGGTCCTGATTTGAAGGGCACGCTGCCTGCAGGCCCAGGTTGTGCTGTGGCTCTATTTTGGTTTGGTTCTGCTCCATCTCAGGAACAAGGGACAGTTGAAAGGGAACATGCAATTATGCTAAATAACTTTTAATCGAATGTTTAATTTAATTATCTCCTATAATATTTTATTTATTGGTGAAATAATGTTAACTATTCCGTTATTTTTATGCTTTTATCATAACATTTCAGTTTTATTTTTTGTGATGTTTTTTTCATTTGATAGTATTTTTCTGTCTAAAATTCAACAGGTTGAGTCATTGTTAAGTAGGGCTGCTTGGTCAGCTCCATCATTAGTAAAACAGAACCAGATGACCTGATGACCACTCAGCTTATTTATCGGATCTAGCAGCAATTTTTTATTTTTTTTTTCTGCTCATGAAGTAGTCAAAACCTGAAAGCTCTCACGGCCTGTAAAGCTTCATCTGACAGCATGTTCTTAATCTTGAGTCCACTGGAAATCCGTCAGAGGTTGGTGGTGAGTAAGAGGGGTGCATGTTTTGATGCATTAATGAGGAGAATCTCGGTAAATTCTTCATGTCCTGTTGGATTCACAGCATTACCTGCATGAAGGACCCTGCAGCAGTTTATGTTTTTAGTGTCGAAGTACAAAAATCTGAAGATGAGACCTTAACTCATAAATGTTCATCAGATTAGTACGTGAAGGAAGGAAAAGTAGCTCAGAAGAACAGCACCAAACATCTCAAACACCAAGATTCATCCTTTAGCGGTCATTTTCAGATTCACTGTGATGAATCAGTTAGCCATTCAGAAGGTTAGAACATAATCAGGAATGCATCTTTTTCCTTCTTCTCTGTAAATAAGGATCAGCTTAAAACCAGACAAGCATTATCAAAGATTTATAATTTAGAATACTCATTTAGCAAAATATCTAAGCTCTTGGGTTAACGATAAAATCATACAGAATTTGAAAATGTTCAGATCCGATAGAAGACTCTGTAATTTTATCATTTAACATTTAGATGATTATTCTGTTTAATAATCTAAATTTGAGCTGATTTATAGAGACATTTTTTCTTTTAAAGACAGAAAACAGTGGTAAAATACTTAGCTACACTTAACATGTTTCTGCTTCTTGTTAAGCTTCAGCTCCATATTCTCATTTCTGGGCTAAAGAGAAGGTCAGGCCGTATGAAACCAGGCCATCAGGAAGCAGCCTCAGACATTTATTTAGATGCGCACTGTGAGCAGCCGTCAGGCGTCCTGGTTAGCATGGGGAGATTATCTGCGCTGCAGCGGCCTGCAATGAGGCTAACTGAGGCAGATTCTGGGAGGCAGCAAGCAGCAGGGGCCACCGCCAAGCCTCAGATGGACCCTGACACTCCAAAGCAGCTGCCAAATTGAAACCATTTATCAAAATCTGACATTGGAGATCCAGTCCCTAAAAAAGCAGTTTATTTGTAAATTGATACTAATAGTGAACACACATTGTCTGGCCTCTGCGATGGCCTGATTTACAACCTGCTCTGCTCCCTTTTAAATATTTATTTATTCAAAAGAAAACTCAATAAGCCCTCAGATCGTGTGGCTCCGAGACGCTCCGAGAGGATCTGAATCACGGTTGGGGGAGGAGAGCCGCTTTGTGAGCTGACAGAGCGGCATGTCGGCCAGGAGCGAGCTGCAACGGGTTAACTGGAGCTGTCACTTCTCTTTAGTTTTCACCTGCAGCTGCCACTCTGCTGAAGGAAACAGAGGAGATGCAGAGACAGGCGACAGATTGATTTGTTGTTGCCGTCAGGTGGAGGATGAAGCTTTCAGCAGCAGGAAAGATGGTTAAACTGAACAGAAAGGCAAATATGGGAACAATCAGAGGACAAACTGGAGGCTGATTTTATCTGAGCGGTGGAAAACTGCAGTTTACCTCAGAAACCATTCCTGCCTTTTGATGAAAAACCTATAAGAAGTTAAAACCAAATTAATCCAGGGGTTCGGGTTTTATAGATCACCCTGGTTTTATATCCATCAATGTGCTAAATGACCTCAGCACGAGTACCTTTACCAGAAATATACTAAATGATGGGTTTGATGCTGGAAATAAAAGCTTTTTAGATTTATTGACTTTTTAATTGTTCTTTTACTCACTCTAAAATGGAAAAAAAACATTTGAATTTTTAACTTGTTTCCATTAAAAAACATTAAATAAGTCTAATGCAGTTTATTTCTGTGCAACAAAGAAAACAGGAATGCTAACTTTTTGCTACCCAATAAAAAAATAGCCCTACTCTTTTATATGACTTAATTACTCAAATCTGTTTACCCAGCTATAAATAAAAAACGAGTTGAAAGGTTTTGAAACAATTCTTAAATGACTCATACATTTTATGGAGCGACCTTGTGTGGTGTTAATCAGCTTCCCTTTTATGAAAATTATATTTCTTATGTAAATTATGTTAAAATTAACTATATTATCAAACATATATGCATCTGATGATAGCTTAATTATCCTGTTTGCAGAACTGGTTCTGTTTGCATAACCTAGCTTTAAAATAAGATTTCTAAACAATATTAGTCTAGTCTCTTTTTTATCACTATATGCCCTTTTTATTAACAAGAAAAATCAATGGCTTTTACACAAAAACTACACTATAAAGGGTTTAGAATAGAATAGAATTCATCTTTACTCTTATTACACTGTCACAAGTAAAAAGCAACGAAATGTAGGTTATGAATAAGATGTAGAAATTTTAGCTTTATACAGTAGATTAATTATTTTTTTTCCTTGTTAGCAAACAATATAGTAAACAAGATTTAGTCTTTTTTTTTCCTTAGGGATAAAAAAATCATAGCCAAATAATGATCATCTTTAGATGTTAAATGGGGACAAAAACTGTTTTACTTCCTAATAAAGATTAAGTATTAGTTTCCCTGTGTATGTATGACACAAGAACAAATATTACAAGACAGCGGTTGAGCTTTTATTGTCAACGAAATTATATTTTGTACAGCTTTCATGTCAGCACCATCCATGTTTGGACCTTTCACACTGAATGTTCTCAGCGAATATTCCTCATAGAAATCTGCCAGAATCCAGAAATCCAGTTCATAAAATGTTTACGGCATCAGAAAATTTATGACATTGTTGATGATTTTCATGGAATAAATGAGAACAAAATCCTTCTTTTAGTAGCAGAAGTTCCTCTTTTCTGCGCAGGATTCATTGAGCAGAAGGTGGAGATTAAACGTGTTTGGCGTGTAGCGAGTGCACTTTTAGCTCTGATCATTGACCCCATCCGGACTCAGGAGGCGCCGGTCCGTTCAGGGATTATTAATTCCAGCCCACTCCATGAATGAGGAGATTTCCGCCGTTCAATGAGAATAATGAGCGATGTTGAATTCATGAGCTGAATTTCAATCGGTTTCCTCTGAATGGAATTAGCTCCACACCACGTCCCGCTTCGTTAGAGCACTCCTCCACCTGATAATCACTAATCTGGAGATCCTGGTGGAACGCCACTCCTCTGCCTCCTGCCCCTACTGCAGGTCCATCCATATTTTAGGAGAAAGGGGGGCGGCGGCTGTATCTGTAGAGCTGTGCTCAGGGTGATTTATCATTGTTAAGACCGCTGTCTGATGGCTTCTCCTCCAGGGTCACGCTGATCCCTGTTCGCCTCGCACCTCCTCAACCAAAGAGTCGGCCCCCCATAATTAAGCCCCAAGAAACCAGGGGTTGAAAATAGAAAAAGGAGGAGGAGGATGTCAAGAGATGGACAGAAGAAGGGCAAGGGCATGACGGCCACAAGGGTGCAACTGCAGGGAGGTGTTCCTCAGCTGTTTTAGGGAGGAAAAACTCACTTAAACACTGAATCAAGTTCTTTTGGTTAAAAAGGCAAACCTGAAATCTGTATAAGATCCTCAGCCAGCTGCTGAATCACTGGTTAAAGATCTTCTGGGTTCCAAATGGGTTCTCTGGAGATTCAAACAAACACCAGTCTTGCGTCCAAGTCAGGATGCCTTGCTGTGGATGATGTCCAGAGTGGACAGCAGCAGCTGAGCTTGTAGGTCACTTCTTGTTATATTCTGTGTAGTTTCAGATTAGAAAAGGAGTGCTCCGGGGCCATATTAGATTGGCTCTAGTCTTTCAATCTGGGTACATGGTGTTTTGACCGATAAATAATAATTTGTATGGCCAGTTTAACTGCTCCCATCTTACCTGACCCATAGTTCAGCAGCTGAATCTTTCAGGCACAGTGAGGATTAAAAAATAATCCCAGTTTGATCATCAGACTTCATTCTCCTCTCCTCTCTCAGTGTGTTTAATTTCACAGTAAATATGTTGATACATTTCATCTTCACAAAGCTAATACTGATCTGCATCTCTGTCTCTGTTTAATATCATCTTCAACCAAATATCAATAGATTCTCAAAGGAAACTAAACTTTCTGCTGTTTTTGGTGAAGAAACCAAGCAAGGATCTATTGTGACCTTTTATAGTTAAGTCTGAGCAACCATAACAAATACCTAAAAGTTAAATACTTTCAGGGTCCTTCATCATCATCCCTGGATGCTTGTTCATACATTTATACTCAGGCAGGGGTGGAGGTTAAAGGTCAGCAGGTTTTCATATTATAAAACCCATCATTTAAATAAAATCATGTCTTTATGAGAATGACCACTGCACTGCACTGCTCTCTCTCTCTCTCTCTCTCTCTCTCTCTCTCTCTATATATATATATATATATATATATATATATATATATATATATATATATATATATATATATATATATATATATATATACATATATTAACAATTGAAATCTGAATGTCTCCTTTTGCGTTGTTTAAACTAATTTCCTGAAGTGCATTAACCAGTCAGCAGCTTCTTTTCTCTGATGCTTTACCCACTCCATTGCTGCCCTAACCTCCAGCCCCCCCATCCACACTGTCACTGGGAGCAGTGGATCTGTGATGAGGCATGATGATGGCGGTGATAACTGGTAGCCAGTGTATTGCCGGGTCGATCCGAGCTGGACTTTAAGCGGCGCTAAAGTGCTCAGCTCTCTGATTGCTGGCACTGCCTCTGACAGGAATCCAATGGACTCGTCTGTGTGTGTGTGGATGTGTGCATGAGGGTGTGAAGGGTGTGGTCCTTTGGAGTGGGTGTGTGTGGCTGTTAAGAGGCAATTAGCAGCGCTGACATCCCATCCAGAAGCAGAACAAACTGAAACTGATGCGAGAGGAGAGGAGAGGAGAGGAGAGGAGAGGAGAGGAGAGGAGAGGAGAGGAGAGGAGAGGAGAGGAGAGGACAGGAGAGGAGAGGAGAGGAGAGGAGAGGAGAGGAGAGAAAAACATCACGCGCTGAACTTCGACCCTTAAGCTCCTGAGGGACCCCCCGGTAGCTAGCACTGTCTTATATTGATGTTTGATCAGATCAGAATTCATTGATCGATGCAGGACACAAACAAAACAGAACGGCACCCACACACTCCTTCACACACCTTCACAGGAAGCTCCAAAGACACACTTCCTGTGAGAATGAGCAGCAGCGGCAAGGCCTCTGAGGCGTCATTAACTGGAGAAGGCTGTTGTGTCTGTCAGGGCGTAATGAAAACAGAAGGACTCACACACACAGTGGAGCTTGAATGAGGTGGAGGTGCATGGGGGGTGTCGGTGAGTGCGTGGGGGGCTGGGGGGGGCAGCAGCTGCTGACTCGTGGCGTCTCTGCCGCAGCAGCAGAGTGAAGGAGACATTAACTAACTTCTGTTTTCTAATGGAGATTAATGAAGCCACAGGAACTACACATTACACACACACTAACACACGCACAAACACAAACACACTGAGAGGTTTGATTAGTTTGAGACTGAGAGAAAATAAAAAGATTAAAGTGAAATAATAAAAGGAGGAGGAATGGCAGGATGGAGACATTAGGAGGACCGAGGTTCTGAAGGAAATTCTTTCAGAATCTGACTGCACCAACATCCAGCTGAGATGAAACAGTTTTGTCTGGTCAATATTGTGTAGGCTTAGGACTAATGAACCGCTAACCCAGATTCTACGCCATCCTGACAGCACAGAACCATGAATCCAGGGAATTACCTTGTCTTCCTTAAAGGAAGCTTCCATGGTTCTTGAAGAGCTGCTCTTTAGAAACTTCCAGGACATTCCTTCGAGTCACGGAGTCACACAGCTCGAAGGACAACTAGGCTAAACCTGCAATCAGAACCAACTTTAGGACCTACCTCCCTGATTTTGGGTTGCTGTACCAAGAGGTGGCTTTGAGATATTTTTTTTCTTAATTCTCCTAAATGTTTACATGTTTTATTGCCCCCAAACCGCAGATGGATCTGGGTCATCACTTCTGGTTCTGGTACTTTTGAAAATAAACAGAACTGACGGCTGGTTCTGGTGTCAGAAAACAGAAATAGATTCCAGGATTCTCTTTCTGCTCCCAAGAAACATCCCAAGCGTGTCAGAGGATCTCTTCGAGGTCGGCCCCGGTCGTGGGAAACCCGCAGCAGTGTGTGTGCAGGGCTGTACTCTGATTGGCTGAGAGGGGGGGTCATATGCTTTATGGCAACCGTTCCTCCACCCAGCCTCAGGGAACAACGCGTTAGGAAGATGAGGGGAACCTGGAAAAATTCTGTGGAAATCCCTGCAGGGACTATCTGACCACAAAGTTCTCCAGCGGGTGATTTCTCTGATTCTACAGATCCAAAAGATCAGATTATTCTATTTTTATATTCTTATTATTTTCTTCTGCGGAAAACTAGACTTGCAGTAGGAATGTGAGCCAGAGTTGTTTGAACACCAGGAGATGCTCCAGAAAAGAAAGAAAAATAGGAATATCTGTTGTCCAATACCAGACTGGGTTCACTGGAAAATGTGTTTGTTTACTACAAAGCTCGTTCATTGACTCGTTCCTTTTGCTCTGCGGGGTCGCTGGTTTTCTTATACACGTAAAAGGTATTCTTGTTGGTGATTAATGGTAATTTTGTGAAGTATCATTAATCACCCAACTTAGCTGCGAGACTAATTAAGCTACCAGCGTATTAGCTATTAAATAACTGGAGAAAATATAAATTATTTTAAAAGCTAATCTAACCTCATTCAAAACTTTTCAAGATAAACCCTTCAAATATGAAATCCATATTGAACTGTGATAATCACTGCATCATTTTATTGGTAATGGTTTTATTTGTACCTTTTTTCTTTTATGTGAAAGTAGAAGCCTATTAGTTTAGTTAAGTTCACTAGCTAAGTTTAGAGTGTTCGACACTATTTACATTTGGGTTTACTCTTTGCATTTGGAGGTGTTTGCGAGACAGAATATGACAAACTGAAACTGATTTGTTTAAATAAGATACATGCATATTTTATATACACAACATATTTTTATAGTAAATTGCATGGTTCATATAATGATTTTTCTCTCTATCCCATTTTAATTGTTGAAAAAGGGTCTATTAAAGCAAATAAAATGTTAATGTTAAAATTATGGCTTTACTTTTGGCCTTTCCAGAAAGTACTCCTGTGCTGAGTTTCAACCTTTAGTGCCTCTGGGTTGGACCAAGATGATCTGGAATAGATAATATCATAGATAGATTTGTTTGCTTACTTAGTTTTTTTTTTTTAACTTTCAGCATCTAGAACTTCAAAATAATTCATAGATACTGTATCTTTTTTTAACCTTTGTGGCCAATGCATCTTGCTTACCTGTCTTGATGTTTAGATTATTTCCAGATAAATATCTCTCCCCATATGAAATGTGGGGAGAAATATAATTTTTTTTGTACCTCTTGCCACACCCTCCTTGGGAACTTCCAGTTTTTTTATCCAGCTCATTAGCTTCATTGTCTAGCTTTGGGTTAACACCTTAATAGAAGTGAGAGGAGATAATTAAGATAATTAGATAATTAAGATTTTCTTTCTTGTTTTTTTTTTTTTTTTTTTTTACGGCACTAGTGGCTCGTTTTATGGAAAGTAGGCTGACAGGAAAGGGGATTTTCAAAAGCCATGTTTGCCGTTTGTATAAATTGTCTTTTCTGAAACAAAGACATCATAGCTCCATATCTCTCTGCGACTTCAGGTTCATCTTTGCTGTATTTTCTGCGATGCTCATAATTTCAACGATAATTTTAGTGTGTTTCTGTGAAAGTGTCACAGTGCCACCTAAGTGCACGGCATACATACTACAGCATCTTGTGTTGTCCTACGGGCCCTGATTTGGACTCGCATTATATCTTGTCGTTTATGAAAAGATATCTTTGTTCTCATGTGGACACGACCTATTCTATTTGCTTTCATTGTTTTCTATTTTTATTGTATCTTTTTGTACAAAATTGATCACTTTAGAGCCTTGTTTATAATTATGTAAAAAATGTACGATTTACTAAATTGTCATATTTTCACGTTTTTATGCCTAAAAAGTGTCATCTTCTCTGTTCTTGTTTTTCTTTTTATCATCATCACAACTCTTTTTTACCTTACTCATCTATTCTTTCTTATTTTACTATTGTTATTAGTGTATATGTAATTTAAAGCAAATTATTTAAACGCTGTCCTTTTCATATTCAGCTCTCCTGAAGTAGCTGTAGCTTGAAAAAGTTTTTTGAATGAATTATTGAGACAATAAAAGTGGATGATGCCTTTCCTTAATGTTACCTGTTCTCCAGGAGAGCCTGTTCACCCACAGTAAAGGTTTGGAGGCAGGATTATAAGTCCTTAGATTGAGCTTTGATGGTTTTTCTGGTGTTGAAGCTGTCTAATGTGATTAAGGGGGACTGAAACCTTCAGGTGGAGGATGGGAGTCAGAACCAGATGCTTTTTTTTTATGTTTCCTTATATCATTTGAACTCAAAGGACTGACATCTCTCTCAGCTGTTCTCACTGAGGTGTAATACCTGCAGGAGCTCCAGCAGAGGCCTCCACCTCCTCACTGCTGCTCCTCTGGGATTCCTCGCCTTCCGTTATTCCTCCTTGTCTTCTTTGCATCCTTTATTTGATCATCTTCAGTTTTGTTTTGTTTCTTCTCTGTTTTGTCTGTTCAGTGCTCATCCCTTTTATTGTTTCTTCTCTATGTTTTTAGCTTTTTCAGAGCAAATCAATACCTTTTCCTTTTTCAGTTTCTTCCCTCTCTTATTCGTCTCATTTCAGAATATATATATATATATATATATATATATATATATATATATATATATATATATATATATATATATATATATATATATATATATATATATATATATATATATATATATATATATATATATATATATATATATATATCTATATATATAAGCCAGAGTAAAATTACAACCCATACAGTAAAATTACACCCCTCCCCTATAAATAGTGCATTACAATCCTTCCCATATAAACAATGTAAAAATAAGATATAAGAATAAAATAAGATAAGGTCTCAGTAATGCATCCTTTCTCTGGGAGCACCCGCTTTTCTGATGCTGATGCTGTAATTTGAGTGATGTGACTGTGCTGACCTGCTTGGAGGTCAGTGACCTGTACACATTGGGCTTCTCGTCTCCTGATGGGAAGACATCTGTTCTCTGTCCTTTAGTTCAAACGTCAGTAACTGTTTTAGTGGCTTCAGGATAAAATGCAAGTTGGAAGATAAATGAGTTTAGTTCTAATTTGTGAGCAGCAGGTTTCTAAACCAAGCTTTCTGTCATTCCCAGGAGGTTCTGCTGAAGCGAGCGGCTGACCTGGTGGAAGCTCTCTATGGGATGCCTCACAACAACCAGGTGAGCATGACACAACATCCCCACCCATCCGAGAACCTGTCTATTGTTTTAGCCTTAACATCAGTGTCCTCTGACCAGGAAGCAACCATCTGATTGGGTTTTAAGGGTTTAGGATCGAGTCAGATTCACAACCAAAATACAAGCTGAGTGATTTAATCACAGCCAGATGTAACTGCACTCCTTACATCATCAGGATGTCTCCGACTGAAATGTCTACATCGGGACATGTTAGACACTGGGTCTGACTGATCCTAGGTGGATTGACTGAAACCTCAACCGCTGTCATATTCAAACCTCAGAAGATCTGTAGAGCAACTGATACCCTCTGAACGAACACACCCTCCAACATTGTGAAGCAGTGGACAGCAAGCTTTCTCAGAGCAGATAACCTGGCTAATTGACCAGCTAAGACTACCTGTGTTGCCATAGTAACATCAGAACCAATCACTGGGTTGTGTTTCTATTTTTTTCTTAATTTACAACAATTTTGAAATATTTTTTTTTGTCAGAAATATAAATCCTATAGTTTTAGCAGGAAAGTGATTGATGTATTCCTGCTTTCTTAAGAGGAAGCAAAAGTAGGGGAAACAAAGCATCTTTAATAAACCTATACATATCTCTCCTCCTTCTCTGCAGGAGATCATCCTGAAGCGAGCCGCCGACCTCACCGAGGCTCTCTACAGTGTCCCTCGCAGCCATAACCAGCTGCCATCACTCACAGGCTCTGCCGCTCACTCCGGCATGATGGCCGTCAACTCGTTCAGCAGTCAGCTGGCTGTAAACATCAGCGAGGCGTCCCAAGCCGACCAGGGTAAGACATAAAGCATTCCCACTCCTCAGGTTAGGGCTCTGGTTGCTGCAGATGGAGACCAGGGTCCTCCTTGGAAGCTCTGAAAAACCTGCAGCTTATGAAAGCACCTGAGCAGGAAGCAAACCCTTCCCACCTGCACTGCCCCCATCTGCTTCTCCAATCCGGCAGCAAACACCTCTCAGGAATCCATGAGGTCATGGGAAACGAGCTTTCATAACTCCACAGTTTCTGTTCGCACTGAAACATTACACCGAGGACCTGCCGGGCGTCCTCCCCGCTGCTCCGTAATTATCCTCTGTGATTAAAGCATTAATAGAAACATTATCCCACGGAGCAGCCGGGTAATTTACGAGGCTAATTCCGAGCAGCTCGGCGTCACAGCTTCTACTTCCTCCTCTGATCCGTTCCTGAAGCTGAGAGGAGAGCAAGCAGAGAATACAGTCATCTCAACAAATGTCATCTAAAAACATTCTCTAGGAAAATATCTGGGATTCCGCTGCAGATTCTTCCCAGATTAATGGGCCTCACAGAACTCTAGTGAATCAGAACCAGAACCCAGTTTAGAGAGAAGATGAAAGTGGGGCTGCTTTGGAAGTATAAGTAAAAGAGATCAGCATTAAGGAATGTTTGTAAAAAATGGAATATTGAAATCAATCTGAAGTGAGTAATAGGGAGTAACTACAAATTTTCTATACAAATAGTGGATAAACAAAGAGGTTATGGCTCCTTTGGCCCGGTCCAAACTCCTGTTTTATTTCTGATTGACTCATGGAACTTTGTGTTTCTTATACATTATCATGATATTGAAAAGAAAACCAGTATTCTCCTATTTTTTCTTTTTTAACAACAAAATGCGATTTATTTTCATCAAGATTATACTGAACAGATAGAAGGGCCTCTACATTATTTTTTTCTGTGTTTTTTTAATCTGTTTTATTACGTCATTGACCAGATACATAGCTGGAAAAGATTACTCATTCTCTTGCAAATTTCACCTGTTTTTGTTGCACATTAAGCTTTTAGACAATCAAAACTATATATTATATCTGACATTAAGCAACTCAAAAACTTTCTTTAAATCATTTTTGGTCCTGCGGTTGACCTGGGGTTTAGAGTTCCTCAGATGATATACGGTTCAGGATGCAAACACTCTGTGAACAAACAAAAAAATGCCTTATCTTTCTGATCCTCTCAGGTTATTCCCGTAACTCAAACAGCGTGTCTCCTCGAGGATATGTGCCAAGCTCCACGCCTCAGCAATCCAACTATAACACCATCACATCCACCATGAACGGGTATGGAGCTGCTGGGATGACCAACCTCGGCGTCCCTGGCTCTCCAAGCTTCCTCAATGGATCCACCGCCAACTCTGCTTACGCAAGTGAGTCGATGTCTGGATAAAATCAAACCTTCATCCCTTAAAGGAGTGGTCAGTGAGAAGAGGAGGAGGAGGAGAGCCTTCATCTTTCAACTCTAGCCATCTCTGGGGAGAGTGTGACTGTGTGGGACTTCTGTGATGTTGTAAGAGAAAGTTGTCAGGGATCACTGGTTAGGGGACATCAGTATGGCAGGATGTGTAGGGAACATCAATTTGGGAATGTTAGTCAGGGAAAGTTCGTCAGGAATCACTTTAAGGAACAATAGTAGGTACTGAAAGGAGCTGTAGTTCTTTGGTACTCTGTGTTGCTTCCTCTGAGTTTAGGCAGTGTAAAGAAACTAAAACCAGCAGTGATGCTATGACAGTTTATTGGCAAGGTGGAGCTTCCTGAGAAACTTTAATCCATAAATCCACCAAACATTTTTTGCAAAGAAACTGTTTCTGCAAACATTTTCTAAAATAACTTCCTTATATGCAGGGCCTTAAATATAAATGAATGTAAACACAATACTGCACACCTGCCTCTGATGCTGGATAAACATCTACTGTTCAGATCTAAAACATCGCATTGGGTAAAGCTGCATCACTATGTTTAATATAAAACAAAAATATAAATAATAGTGAAACATCTTTAAAGGCTGAGTTTGATGTATGCTTAAGGTACTTAGTCAGCAAGGATTATTCCCAGAACTTAAAACACAGAATTCTAATGAGTCAAAAAACTGAACCGTTTTAAAGAAGCTTAATATCTTAACACCAACTTTTAAAGTCACCTTGTATGTAAATATTAAGTAATCAGGTCAATGTGGCACCATAAAAAAAGGGATTTATTTGCTGTTAAAACTTGAGAACAAAGACAGAATTGCTATTTAATTTCTCTGGTAATGCAATGGATTAGCTGCTTGGGGAATCAATGGACATCATCTCTGAGGTTTAAAGATCCCACTAACTGTCCACAGAATCTGCCTGTGTTAACATCATTATGCTATCAGTATGGTTCATTTTACAGATTTAGAAGTAAAGATTAATATTTCATAGTTGACATATTTGTAAACCTCAAAACCGTAAGGAACCACCAGTTAACCTGTGATCGAATGTAATTATAATTCAAGTCAAAAATGCTTTATTAATCCCAAGGGGAAATTAAATGAGTAATAATAAGGTGCTCTCGTAGAAATATAACGAACAGTTAGACCTTGGATGTAGGAATAAGTTTGATCATTTATCACTTTATACTTTAGAATTAAAATTGTAAATGTCCATTTAACTGAAAGGAGTTTCACCAGTATATAAGTGTTACACCAAAAACAACCCTGGAGTTTGAAGAAGAATAATCATGATTTGTTAAACACATACGATTTAAACCAGACTAGTAATGTTCCCTTACAGCAAGTTCAACTTTTTTTTACATAGTATTCTAATCTATATTTATTAAATACAGCACTGAGATCTAACAGGACAAGTACACGTACCAATTCATTATCTTAGGACTTGAGAGCATCATTATGGACTTTCACCAGTACTGTTTCAGCGCTTTCATGAGCTCTAAAAGCTGTGTCAAACTCTTCAAACAGATCATTATAGTGTAAATTCTCAATTATATTCTAAGGAATTTAGGTACAAAAAGAAGATAATGTAGACCTTTAAAAAAGCCTGTGATACATGCATCTAACTGGTCACATTCTAAGGTGATGGATAACGTCAGAGCTGTGGGAATCCTGTGGGATTTCCAGATAAAAACAGACAAAATGGTAGTTGTCAAGCAACTGGACATTGTGATAACTGATAAGCAGCACAGAACAGTGGTAGTGAGTGATGTGATGGGGCCACATTCACGTCATTCGGCATGCCCTGCTCTTGTCTAATTACCAGCTGTGCCCAACCTTCTCTCTTTTCACAAATGAGTACATAATAACTAAAGCACTTGTCATATATTTTCATAACAAGCTTAATTACATTTTATATCCACTAGAAATAAATAGACTTGGCTTATATCACACTAAGACAGATACTTCCCCCCCATCCTTTTTTGGAGGTGAGGTTTGTGAGTGGTGCAGAGAAGGACAGAGAGAAAAACGAAGAAAATAGGACTAAAGGAGTGGAGAGAGGATAAAAAAGAAAATTCGGGCCAAATATATTTATTTATGACAAAGCAGATAGGACATAAACAGTAGTGGTAAAGAGTCATAACACTAGCATGGCCTGTCCAGCACAAGTTTGTTTAAAACATATTTGTTTAATAAGAACCTGATTCTAGATTCTATAAAATATTAATAAATTAGTAACTATGAACAATGACATCCTTTTATGATTTTATATAATTATATAAAATATATATTATTATATATATTCTATATCAGCTATACTATGTTAGTTAACCTTTACTTACCCAGGCGAAATGGTCTGTTTTACTTTTTTAGTATTTTAAACACTCACCTGTGAACTATGTTTTTCTGAAATATTTAGAATATTACATTGCATTTAAATTAGACTTCAATCACATTCAAGACATATTGTCATTACTTATAAAAGTTAACTTGATTATAAAAATAACCTATTTGTGCAGTTTTAAAGCTGCTTCTGCAGCAGTCCTGACTTAATTCATTGCAATCGCTTTTGTGTGACACAGCTTAGTCTCATGATGTCCAATGCATTCTATCAGTGGTTTAACATTTAGATCGCTTAAAGCTAATTTAAAGAACTTAATCATCATTAGCTGTAGGTCTTAATATTAGGAGGCAGTATTAGGAGCAATCAGAAATGATTGCTAGCTATTTTTTTTTTATGTTAGTATAGCTAAAGATTGGTTAAGCATCAAACGTACGTATCTCAGAATAGATGTTTCTCAGAGGTTATTTCTCCCTGTTACTACATGGTGTTTGGTGTCAGTCTTTATATCAACAACAACAAAAAATGCTCTTTGATAACTATTTGTTCTATAAGTCTTAGTTACTTTTTTAGGCCTTGCTTTTCTTCAAAAGATTTGTTTAAAATTTTCTAGCATGCTGTAATATTTTATTCAGCTAAAAACAAATAAAAAAAAAAAGAGAAAATCAGATTACACATTATTTTTATTTATCTATTTTTTAATCTTACTGGAGTATAAATGTCGGGTTTCAGAAAAAGCCCCTTGTGTTTACCTCAAGGAAAAGGCAGCAACGTTTTATTTAATGACTAAGGTTTGGTAGAAGAGCTGGCTGTCAGTGAGCTGATGGCTAACAGTATTAGTGAGGTAAAATATTTTCCTAAATGTTTTGGCTTTATTTAGTTAACACAGAGATCTCTGAGAGAGTCAAAAAAATCTTGATGCAATAAAATAAAATGTATGTGGTAACTTTTGTACTCAAAAGCCAAAAGGCATCAGTAGTGACCCCAAAACCCTATAAGGTTAAGAACAAATTAAATAAAACAATAGTGATGATATATGATTACATTAACAGTTTGATTAGTCTAACTGATATAGTCAAGCTTAATATTTGATGGTTGAGAAATTTGTTGAAGCAGATTTTTACACATGAAACAGCTGTTGAGAAAGGCATTCACACTGAATCTATTTCCAGTGGCCAGAGTGATCGATTTAGGGTATCCCTAAGTAGAGGAGTGCTACAGGAGTGCTACAGTGCAAAGTGACGCAATGAACACACTTCTAGCAAAAGGCAAAGATATGGTGATAACGGCATTGCAACAAGAGTTTAAAAAATCTGTTTAGGGGATTCGGCTGTGATGCAGGGTAAAGAGGTACAGTGGAGACATAGCTTTTTTTCAATCGTAATAAAAAATAGAAAAATACTGTGAACATTGGAAGAAGTAAGCAACTCTCTTAAGAAGTGCGTGGGTGGCTTTTAATATAGTTGTTTTAATTTAGCCCATAAAAGCACTGCTAAATCATTCATTACTCATCCTCCTCTTGCAGCTCCAGAGCTGGCTTCAGCCATCTGCTGCTTGGTTGAGGTGCTGTCTCTGCTAGGGTTCATGCTCTGGTCTCCAGCTGCTCCTGCCTGAGCTCCAGAACGCCGCCTCACCTTACCTCTGTTGTCAAGGTGATCCTCCCCTAAAGTGGGACATTTTTGCGACCTGGTCAAGCAGAAGTAGTGTGAGAAGCGCGGCTCCTGGACTCCCCCAACCAGGAGCATCTCTAGATCTGTAGGATCTTCCAGAGATTGACGCTGTTCGACTTTACATGATAGATAAGCACCATGAATCTCTCACTAAAACCCAGCTAAGTTGAAACTGGGAGCAGCAGATAGAAGATCCTTTTATGGTGGAGTGATAAGAGTGTAGCTTGTTGCCTGTTATGCAAACTGCTGGCAATATGTCAAGCAAGTGACAGCACCCAAATGTGGACACTGTTGCTGGAATGGCATTCAATGCAAACTCACCAATATTGCTAATGTTAATGTTAGCATGTTAAGTCAGGTCAGGTTTTAGTTGTTTTTGGTGTTGATTTGAATAGTGTAAAATACTTGCTCATATCCATCACAGGTTTGTAAAGTATCCCTTAGCAAAAAGTAGTGTACTTGAAGTAAATTATATTAAGAATACTTAAGTTTAAGTTTAGAAAGTATACCTAACAATGTACTTTTAGTGTGCTTGAAGTATTACTAAAGTAATACTTTTTCAAACTAAATCGGGACATTTTTAAGTTTACTAAAGCATACTTAAAGTATACTTTAGTAAACAATAAAGTAAACAATAGTATAGTCAAGTACACTTGACTATACTATTGTTAAGTATAGGAAATATAGTTTAGAATAGTTAAACTCTAAATACACTGCCTAAATTTTAAGTATGAAATTAATGCATTTTTAGTATACTCGAATAAACTACTTTTTACTAAGGGATATCAATAATCTGAATGGGCTCTATGCACAGCTCCACTACTTCCTGAATTTAAGGCAGCTCCTTTGTTTCCTGTCTTTCATTACTGGACGAACTGATTAATCCAGGTGTGTCTGGCCAGTTACTTAGGTCATACACACCTGGATTAATCAGTGCATCCAATCATGAAAGACAGGAAACAAAGGAGCTGCCTTAAATTCAGGAAGTAGTGGAGCTGTGCATAGAGCCTATTGATGCCCAGATTTTTGAGCATTTAAATAGATAATCAAGAAAAACAACAAAGAATTATTTGCACTTTAGAAATTTAAATGTCTTGAGAAGTTTAGTGAATAAAATTTCTTTTTGTATACACTCTTTGTGTACAAAATGATAATAAAATCGGTCTAAGTCTAAGTAATTTAGCTAACTTTAGGCTTAAGTTTCTTGTGTAACACGGAAACTTAGACGTGCAAAAAAGACACCAGAAAGAGCAACTATTTTTGGGTCGGGGTTCTGAAGGAAGTAGATGTGTTAATATGCTGAAGGTAGAGAAATTAAGGAAATTTGTTTCACATCAACTGATTTCTAACTGGATTAGAGTATAAGAGGCTCTGTTTGGCGTCTGAGATGATCAAAAGCATCAGAATCAGGGCGAACACAAATCAGGGGGTGTTCAAAGATATTATCAAATTCAGTTTTAATTAAGTAAAATGGCACAGGAAGCAGACAGTCTGGTCCTAACCATGTCCACCTGGAATCTGACTCAGTGAGGCGAGGGAGGTGTGCAGCAGGTGAGCATGAAGCTGCTGCAGGAGGATAGCTCCGAGCCACTACTGTTGGTGCAAGAGCTGATTGGCATCCCTGCAGCTGAAGCTCAGAAGGCGCAGGTGTGTTTTTGGAGCGCGGTGAAGTCAGAAGCTGCCCGCCGGGAGCCCTTCATTGTTTTGGCTTCTGTTTCAAAAAGCTCAACAAGTCTCAGTGAGACTCGTTTAGACGGCAGCGAGCTCAATCCGCGTCTCCGAGCCAGGTGATGCTGTTGTCCCCGGCGACCAAACAACGCCTGGCCAAGCTGCAGCTTCCTGATGCAGAGGCTCCCACTGTGTGTGTGTGGTGTGTATGTACTGTATGTGGGAACACCTCCACACATTGTTCATCCCTATCCTGACTCCTTCTCTCCTCCTGACCGTCGTCCTGTCCATCATCCCATTCCTGCTGCTCCTTCACTAACCCCACTAACATCCTCACCACATCCTTCCTGAATTCCTGCTTCAGGCGCAATCCATTAACTCCAGAACAACAGGAACAATGAAGAAATGTGAGGAGTGACAGATGCTGGCATGAAGCGATAAATCACGTTACATCCCCGCTTCATTCTCACTGATTCATATTCAGATGGCTCATCTACACAGAAAAGCTCTCTGGATGCTCCAAAAGGAACACATCCATGTTTTCCAGAGAAATTTCTCTTCTCAGCAGAGAGCGACACGTTCAGATGGACTGAAAATCATACCTGGAGTTAAAAGATAGAAGACGTCTGGCCGCCTGGCCGGAAATGTAAAATATTTATTTGAAACATTAGCGAAACTTCCTCAGACTAGGTTCCCAGTTTGACTGAAATGGTCACAGGTACAAGGGAACTTGTACATAACTTTGACAGTCCTGTTTCATCTTTAAATGGAATCTGATTGTTAGGATGAAAGACTCTGGATGTGGCTTACATTTCAGTTGGTCCTCAGGAGATCAAATTCCTAATTATTAATAATAAAGTGGAAGTCCTGATTAAGTTGTTCAAGACTCGGGAGTCACTTAACTGACTCGTACTTATCTCTATAAAGTCATTTTCTTACCCCCCCTTCTACAGTTACTACAGCTTAACTTCCGTTCTTATGAGGTCCTTATCTGAGGTGTCCGTAGCTGTTGTTTGTTCCGGCAGTGTCAGCATGTCAGTTATGTTGACAGGCCGACACTGTCCTCTGCTGGTGGCTTATCGCTGAAAGATGTCGACTCTGCCTAAATGAATCACTGCTTATGACAGCTCTGTAACAGACAAAGGTATAACTCACGTATGTTTAAGACAAATGGCGTGTCTGATCACAGAAGAACCAAAAAAAAAACATACTTTTAACCAGATTTGGAGTCAAAGAGCCATGTCATGTATTTGTTCTGCTCAGCCACTGAACCAGGTGAATTCAATTGTGGAGATTGGACCTGGTTCAGTGGCTGAGTAGAACAAATACATGGCATGGAGATGACTCGTTGACTCCACATCTCCAACCTCTGCTTTTAACTTTGCTGGACTGAGGTGCTCAGCTGGTCGCTGCAGCCTGACTCAATTCACAAACAAACCAATTTCAGCACAATTCCACCCTGAATTAATCAACAAGGTAACAGCCCACGTTAGAAACAGCGTGCTCTTAACATGCGGGGGGGTTCCATCAATTTTCTAAGAGCTTGTTATTCTGCGCTTTGCAGTCTGCCCTTTTAGTCTTTGTAAAGACTAAAGGTGCACGTTTCAGTAAAAAATAAAAATTCCCATATTTGGAAACATTTTTTTATTTTTTTAAGCGGTGGAGGGTGACTGACTCAGTGATGCATGAAGACTTTGAGTTTGTAAAAACAAGTGATTAAATTATGTTCAGTTTATTATATGATATCATTTCAACACAAATGTTGTCTCAAGGCTATTTACTAAAACATTAAGTCAATTTCCAGAGCCAAGTGGTCCATTCAATCCAGACTGACAGATTTAATAGATTTATTCCAGTTAGAGCATAGTTATTAATCCATTAATATTCCATTATTGTTCATCCAAACCGCTGCATCAAGCCCCTGACTTTTCAACTATCTCTCTTCCTAGGAAAGAGGAGATTTAGTGACTGGCTAGCTCAATTGGTAAGTCACCTATCCTGCAAAAAGGGAGCCTGTGTTCCTATCCCAGCTGGGGGGAATGAGCTGCCAGTGTGGGTCCTCATGCAAGACACTTTACATTAATGTCTGCTTTGGGGAGTGGCAGCCTAGTGGTTAGGGCATTGCTTGGAATCCTGAGCTTCTGAGTTCATGCCCCACTCCCACAGACTGCCACTACGGGTCCCTAAGCCAGACCCTTATCCCCCACGCTGCTCCCCGGGCGCCACACAATGGCAGCCCTCTGCTCCCCAAGGCGGATGGGTTAAATGCAGAGAGTTAATATCCTTGCTCTGTATTTGTAACACTATAATGACAATAAAACGCTGGGAAAGTAGCAACATTTGAGAGGAAAGATAATTAAAGAAGGACACTTGAAGAACTAGAATTAGAACCTGGCTCAATCTGGAAGTGACAAGTTCCCTGGATTTTAGCTGGGAATCATTCAGACAGATAAGCTGCATTCAGCTTCTTGCACAATCTCCTAAAGTTTACTTCAGTTTAAGATAACTTTCTGACCAACAGCTAAAAAACTTTCTGTTGTATCTGTTCTAAATGTACTAATGAGCAAAAACAAAAACCTCCCAGTATAACCAGTAGAGTCAGATGTTTCCCCATGTTTCTCCCTGAACACCTCGCTCTCTGACAGAAGGTCACGGAAAATGTGTAGCTGTTCCTTTAATGAGACGACACCTCACCACCAGCCGATGGGTTTAACACACCCACTTACACACACACCAACACACTCAAACACCACCCACTCCTGCGCAGGGCTTATGTTATGAGCCGGTGCCCCAGGCTCCCATCAGGTTGGTTTGTTCCTTCAGGTTATGGATCAACTTTGCTGGACGTGTTTGCTCCTCCAGACCATGGCCCGATCCTACTCCTCCTCACCCTCCTCTCCATCTTTACCCCCCACACACAACCCCCACCTCCCTGCATGCCTCACCCGCCTCATCCCCGCCCATCTGCTTGCAAGTCACCCCTCGTCTTCCTCACCTCCTCCTGTTCTTCCTCTGCTCCCAGGCCCTTATTCATTCTCTCCTGTCCATATGATCTCCACAGTCAAACAGAAGAGCGCCTTCGCCCCCGTCGTGCGGCCACAGACCTCCCCGCCCCCCACCTGCACCACCACCAATGGCAGCAACCTTCAGGGTGAGCATCCCACACCCTACCCCTGCTCGTCCCACCCCTTCACCTCCCCCCGTGGTCCACGGCGGGATATCCAGCATCCCTGTGATGCTGTTTGTGAACAGTCAGAGGTCAAAGTTGATCCATAACTGAAGCCATATACATTTGCTTCCTTTGAGCAGAGCAGGAAAATCAGTTTCAAGAAGACGGACTCAGAAATAAGTCAGTTGGACGTTTAGTTGTCAGTTCACTACAGTCTCTTAATGGCAATTCACATCGGTATCACCAGACATGGATCAGAAGATAATTTACCTTAAGAATCCAGCTGATCGATGCTCCAAGGCTCAGTGGTCCACCTCTAGACAGCTCTTTTCAGGAGTGTGAGCCTTACTGAAAAGGAAATATACTAAAGAGCCCTCCAGCGTGGGTCTGTTCCTCTTCGATAGTTGTATCCCTTTGCTGTTACTGAAAGGAAAAAACTATGTTTAAAATGGAAGAAGAGGAATTTCTGTCATAAAAATCAGAAATATCGGCATGTCTGTGTTCTTCAGCTGCAGCCAATCAGATAGCTGTTTAAGAGTCAACAGATGTAGAACAACCTGTCCCTTAAAATCAGGGCCCTGTCCACGTGTAGGGTCACTGAAGCACAGATGCTTCATTCAATTGATAAGAAGAACAAATTTATAATATTTTACATTGAGGAACTTCATTTTCCACCTATGTGCTCATTTTAGTATGGAATTACCTTATCAACGTTAGATGATTAAATACAATTGTTTTAAGCGAGATTCTCTTCTGATTTAATTTAACCAACTTTAGAATGTATGCATATGTTTTTCTATGGAATTATGTTAAATAACTGTATATCATATAGGTAATGTTTGTATTTTTTTTATTATTATTTTCCAATTTAATTTAGAGGAGGAACTGACAGTCTCATTATAAATCAATTTAGTTAAAATGAGTAATTTTTAAGTATTAACTTGATTTTATTATATTTTTAATGAAAGTATTTATAAAACTTAAGAATATTTTTACTATATTTAAATAAATAGCTATATAATAAGTTGGATTAAATATATCCACACAAATGCAGTTTTTCAATTCAGAAACATTTATTACATTTATTAATCAATTTCATTTTATCTGAATTCAGTTAAATCTGACATAAGCATTTGTGTGTTTCAGCCATGGCTGGTCTTATCGTGCCCCCCATGTGAGGACGCCTCAGATCTGACCACGCCACCTCACTCTAACCCAGAACCACCTCTGTTTCCGTCGTCTTCTTCTTCATCTCCTCCACCACCAGCAGACCACATCACACTCCCCCTGCTGGCGGATCAGACCAACGGAGGACATCAGAGTGGGATGTTTTCACAGACTGGATAGTCTTAAGCTGGTTCTGTTGTTCTAGAACTACAAACTATTTTCTCTGGAACTGAATCAGAGGCAATGGGAGCCTCAGTTTGGCTCAAAGCTGAGCTGAAGGAAGACCATTTTAAAATTTGACTGAAACACAAATAAGTGAAGAATGGAACAATTTCAGCCATCAGAGGTTTGATCTTTGGGTTTTTAGGGTCAACATTAGTCTGGTTTTAAAAAACACTAATCTCCTCTGGGATCATCTTCAGTGGAACCGAAGGTGGATCTTAGTTCCCGGCTCCACCCACTTAAAATCCTAAATATTCTGATTCTGTTGGCCTGAAAACTCCCATTTCACAGTTGGACCAAGTTCAACTTATTTTCTGGGACTGGGAGGGGGGAACCCATCAGTTTGAGTTCCTTATTCTGTAAAGATGGAAGCTGCAGATCTTCCTGCTTCTTCTGACTTTTCTTTCTTTGTTTCTGTTACATAGCTTCTATCAGCTGATGTGTCCAGTTTTAGATTTGAACCAGAAGAGAGTTGGGACTGTTTTATTCTGTTTCTTTCTCCTTGTTGGGATTATTTTGCCATGTTACTAGGGGGGCGTTCCTTCTGTGATGTAGGCCTGAAAGATAGTCTGGATTATATCTGTAAACACATGGATGTCTTCATACCTTTGGATCTTGTAAAAACAATAACCGAGAAAAAGAAAAATCCTGTTTTTGTAAAAAAAAAAAAAATATTGCCTAAAAAAACATGACTATTGATCTTGATCTTCGAAAGCAGGAAATAAAACTTTCATCACTTTTGTATAAAAATGCTTTTTTCTGATATTTAACTTTTTGTAAAAGACTGTGTTTTTCCTGCTTTTTTTCTTGTTCTGTGTGAATTATTGTGAAATCTATATTCAAGGTTATTTCTAAATGCACTGTTTTGGTTGGAGCACTAAAAGAGAAGAGTAAAGATGAGAGAACAATATAAATCCAGGTGTTTTCATCCACAAAGCTCATCCTGTTCCATTATCAGGGATTCATTCCTTATGTAGAGGTTTTATTTTACAGACAAAACAGATTTTAAAACCTCCATTCATATCCGTTCTGGTGGGTCTGTCAACATTCCACACAATCCAGATCATCTTCCTACAGAACTGTGTTCCTAGCTCTGCAGTCATCTTCTGAACTGCTGTCAGGAAATCCTTCATTTTTGCAGCGATTAGAGAAAGTTTTGGTTCCTGATCTAATTTGCCTCAGGTTCTCTGTCACAGGAACAAAGAAACAGTTTAGGATTCAGATATTTTTCCTGCAGAGATAAGAGGAGAATATTTGACTCATTAGGAAGGATTTTCTCAGGGTCTGAAAAAAAATCGAAAGGTTTATAATTTATTGTTTTTATACAGAAAGAAGTGGCTCTGAACATCAGTAGGGCTCGGCTTTTACAATGAAATGTTTTTGGTTCTTATAAGAAGAAAGACGTAAAGAACTTATTGATAAAGGGATTATTTTAGCACAGCTTGGATTAATCTAAAAGTTTAATGAACGAACCAGCAGTTTCCTACAGAACAACAATAGGCGGTTCACATTTTTTTCACTCTTATATAATTTACTTTTTAACGTTTGAGGTTAAACCTACATATCCAGAACTTTTCCAAGTGTGTAGTGCGTTTTAACAGAACAGAAGTCTGGAATTGGGAATCTCTGTGAAAACCTGAGTCCCATCCGCAGAGTCTGATTGGAACACCAGCTCTGGTTTCTTCTTTCCTTTCCCACTTCGCACTTTTCCGGTTTTCCCTCAGTTCAAATATTGACTCTTGTAAATCAGAATCAGTGAAACCGGACAGAAATTGTGAAGGAAAAAAGTGACCTGCCATCCTGATTCGTCTGGTCTAGTGTTTCTCCATCAAGGTCCTCAGTTCGGAGTTTCACCAGAAACAGAAACTTTTTGGATGTTTTACTTCAATGTGAAAGAGGGCAGAAGTATATCATCTTTGTGAAATATGAAATATATCAAAGTATATCAAAGCACAATGTTTAATTATTGTCTTAAGAATGAACCCTCCAGGATGGGGAAATCCTCCACCCCCCACCTGAGGGTCTTGGTTTTTCTGTACCTGGCCATGCTGTAAATAGATGCATGTCTTCTGTTCCTCAGTTGTTTTCTTGTGATCCGTGCTTTTTGTACAGAAACAGTCTAATAAAGATTATGTTTGGCTTGAAACTCTCAGGTGTCTCAGGTTTCTGTCTCAGCTGGGTGATGGTGATGGAGATACTGCTACTCTACATCCAGCTTCAGAGTTAATGCAGGGCAGCTGACCCTCAGGAACAATCCTTGTTTAGATTCTATAGGAAATCGTGGACCCAAGCAGCTGGTACCTGTCATGATTTTCTTAAGAGATCTGACCCACATGCAGTAAACCACTCAGAGAACCAGGGTAAAAGTTTAAACAGGTTTATTGATAAGGACAGTGGGGGTTGGATTCAGGAAACTCAGTTTGCTGGGGAACCGGAACTGGAGGAGGAAAGGGAAGTATCAGCGGTTAGTTCAGGATCCATGGGAACTTTGAGCGATGGCTGGAGAGACAGAGAAAACGGGACTCACGTTGGTTGAGAAGACCTCTTCTCCCAAAATCCAGTTAGTGTGGGTTTATCTAGAGGTAGAGACTCGTTGGAGGGTGGACAGGTTTAGACTTGGTTGGATCCTGAGGAGCTATTGAGCGGACTGTCACTTGGAAATCCAGGAGGACTTGAACGGAACTTGTGGAGGTTAACCCCCTGCTCAGTGTGAGACTCAAACAATCCTTCCAGGGGAAGAAGGCCAAACATCCAGCTTGCAGAAAGCTTCCTGCCGAAAAGGCAAAGACAAAAACAAGGTTAGGCTCAGTGAAAACAAAGACTCAGTTAGACTAAGCAAAACTCAGCTTGGCTAGAGTACCCAAAACTGGCAAACACTCTGGCGTCGAGGTAGTGACAGTCCACAGCTCAAATAGTCCTCAGTAATGAGCCAACCAGCCGCAGGTGTGTAGGAGGACCAACGAGAACAGGGAGCCACCTGGTGGTGTAGGGAGTGAACAACACAAAAACACAACCCACACAAACTGGATTCCTATGGTACCTCTTTTATGATCACCTAATGTTGTCAGTTGTTGACGCTGCTTGAGATTTTGTAGATATCGCAGAGCGTCTTGGACTTTCTTATTGCTCTGGCTCCCAGTTTACTTGCGGTTGGCTCAGCGGTGAGCTTTTCAACAAATAAACTGCAGTATAATCAAAGCATTTAGACTCACTATATTAATACATCTATGACTGTATTTATATGACTATATGTGCATAATAGCCATTACACACATTAGATCAATGAGCGAACTGTATATATTAACTTAGGTAATCAAAATATAATGATTAAACATTAAAGCAATGCTGTGTAAATTGTATCCACTAATCAATGGCATCTGATAGCAGACCATTTTGGACCAACAGATTAAATTCAAGAGCTGGGTCTAAATTGAAATCTTCCGAATGGGATAAAAATTTAGTTGTGATGGGAAAAAAAGTATGACCAATGGAGTACCATAAAGCTAGTTGACTTTCTGCGACATATTACAGCATGGCCGTCATAGTTAGAACTTATTTAGGAGCTGCATCAATGGCCCTCATCTTGCGCTCCGGTAGTTAATTGGTCCTGTTTGTAGATGGTGCAACATCTGTTTGTATTAGCTCATTGCGCTTGGTGCTGAGGCTCTATTTAGGCTCAAAAAGGACAATCAAACACTTTCAGGATTGATGCTTGGAGTATATAGTCTTATTTTATACTAATTAACTGGATTTTGTGTCAATGTCAGAGCAGAGGACCAACCAGTATTCAAGGCAAACATACATCTCAAAAGTGTTTATTTAAAGCTACAGTGTGTAATAATTACAGGCATATAAAGTCAGAAATTTTATATATTATACATAACTATGTTATTTATCATCACCTATGAGCTCAGCCTTTTAACCATAATATTTGCGTTGCCTTAGAATTCGTTATTTATAATTACATAGGAGCGGGTCTCGCAGCCATGGAGGCTGACATCTTTGCGCTACGGCAAGCGCAGAGGCAACAAACTAGCGATTGCGAGATCTCCCATGACGCTCAAAAATAACTACGGCAAGTTGAGAGAGATTAACTGAGACGGTACTGAACAGTAGATGGCAGTATTATGCCTGAGAAGCGTTTAGTCTGCCTGAAACCAAAGAAGAAGAAGAAGCAGGTATACTGCGCCTCAGTAACAAGAAAGGTGAACAAGGCGGCAGGCGTGAGTGACTTTGCAAACTGTTTGGCACTGTGTGGCCAAACATCAGACGAATGGAGGATCATGCCTACTCTGTATCACAACGAAAAGCGGCGGACACCGAACCCCCGTCATCTAAGAAGCGGAAACACGACGAGAATAAACGCAAGCGTGACAAGAAACGGCAAAAAACACGGATCAACATTGGCACGGCATTTACACGATGGAAGTCACTGATGGAGGAAAAAGGTTTTCAAAGTGACGCTCAAGTTGCCAGTTTTCTCTTGGACAGGTAATTAATCCTACACACACAATTGTCTAATATCACTGCAGTTTTTGGAGTACAGGATGCTCAGACCTGTCTAAAACAATAACATGCTGCGTGATGATGCTGTTACTCTCCAGTATACTTATTCAGCAACGTCCCTGACGTTTCACAGGTAATGATTCAGTAATTTTCTGTAAAATAATTTTCTGGATATATACCTCGGTTACTTCTCTCCGGCTCCTTTGGAGATCTTCAAGCCTTTCCTCCTCTGCTCTCACCCCGCTGGCTCCCCTCTCTCGCCTGGCCCTAGCTGCACGGCCTCCCTGCCTTCGCCCTCGTCCTCTCCCTCTCCCTCGCGTTGTAACCCCCGTGCCACCAAAATGACTTGGACTCTGTAAACGTGGGATATATATTCTTCCAGCGAACACAATCTCGCTGTTAAACTAATGACTACAATTACTTCGTCTGTTTATATCACCATGCAAAGCAGCTCACCAAGACGTCACAACGATGTAGAAAAAATAACGGGTATATTTATTATCTTAAGTCTACATGAAATCTATACCCTACACAGACTAATGAAATACTATCTGTAAAATTATCTATGTAAACAAACCTCATCACTTGAGAGGGTAGGTGATGTGGACGTCGTAGAAGAAATTTTGTCCCCTAACGCTCGCCGTACTGTTGGGGGGGAGAAGCGGTGGGGGGGAGATGTTCATGTTGCTGCGGTCTGTAGTCTGACCGCTAGATGTCGCTGAAAATTACACACTGTAGCTTTAAAAACTGCAGATCTGTAGGAGCTGCAGGAACTTCTTGTTTTATAGCTTAGTCTGTGCCTAGAGAATGAGGTAGGATCCAGCTAGCGGGATGCCATCACGATGCGGCACTGCCTAGAGGGTCCCAGATGCCGTAGCCCTGGAGGAAGGAAAATAAGCAGGAAACCAGATCTGGGCAGATGAAGGAGGGCAGGATAATCCAGAATGTGAAGCCAAAGCCGATGTGGAGGACGTACTCAGGATTCAGAACCAGGATATCAGAAGTCAAAAGAAGCTCTGAAGGGAAATCCAGGAAGGTGATGGGAAGCAGTTCCAAGTTCAATTAACAAGCAGAATCTAGCAGGAGTCCAAAGACAGGTCAGGCAAACAGATCAGATGGGAACAGGCAGGCTCAGTAGTTTAGACTCAGAACAGGTCAGGATGAGGTAATCAGAAACACTAAGGTAACGCTGAATAACTCTCACCACTGGCTTAAGAATAATCTGGCACTGATGATTGGTTAGAGAGCTGGTTAAATAGAAGCAGGAGCAGGTGGGTCAGAGGAACGGTAACAAGAAAACGGGTGGAGTTACACAGGTGAGTAAGTAATCCAGTCAGTCATTAGCACCAAGATCATGACATTTGGGTCTTTTTGATATGGTTATATAAGGTGACTAGGTACATTTAACTGTTATTTATTATACACAAACACTGGAAATACAGTAATTCTAACTCCTTTTTAACATAGTATTCTTCATCCTTCTTAAACAACATTATTTTCCACCTAATTCAAGCCTAGATAAAGCCTGTTAATGCGCATAGATAGGTTCCAAAACATCCAGTTTGCCATTTTAAACCTTTGATATAGTAACCACCTCCACATCAATATATTGCAGTAGGTAGTCTCAGCTCACTTGCCCCACTGTGCATATCAAAATGGTGTAGATTAGTTAACATGGTTTTCAAATATGTCATTTCTATTCATTACTTTAACAATTATATGATGTAAATCTATTGGATATTCTATATTTGAACTGAATTCCTTGTTGAATACAAAGTTTGGATAGCAGGAAAGTCTTCCAGATTCATCAAGATTTTTTTAAATAAAAAATCAATTACATACTCCCTTTACCAAGAAAATATGCATTAAGTGCAGTAATGAGTATTACTTTTGGGTAAATAAGTTATTTACTATAAATAGCTGCTATATGAGTTAATGTGTTAAACACTGCTATGTGGAGTTACTCATGATAGTCTGCTGGGTTCTTTAGATAGAAACTTTTAAACAATCTGTCTGGATGGTTTGATTTAATGACTGTAAAGCGCGCTGAGGTGACGTGTTGTGAATTAGAGCAACATAAAAGAAATGAAAGCATTTAATTAACTTTTATTGACTAGAGCACATTTCTGTTAAATCTATCTCAGCATTAATCAGGAATAAAAGATAACCTCTAATGAAGTTTAAACTGAATGAAAATATATCTTAGATTTATTCAGAATTGTGATTACTATTTGAGTGTGATTTTTGTTATTACTGATGATATTTGAAGCTGATTATGTTAAATGATCAGTTTCTTCACTGATCATTTACGTAGTGATTCAGTCAGTTTAGGTGGTTCTAATCAGGATGCCTTTCATTACAGGTTTTCTTTTCCCACTGGAAGGAGAAATATTAATGGCCAACATACTTAGTCTTGCCTATAGTAACACATCATTATTCCTGGACAGATGAACATGGGTCAGTCATGCCAAGTGTCTTTAATGAAGGTGATTGTGACAATTCAATTTTGCAAAACCCATTGTTCGCTCCTGTAAGCATTCCAAAGAAGATGAGGGGCTATCCAAACCATCCTGGAGTATTTTCATTCCTTCAGCTCTTCGACACCACCAGGAGAAAGAGTGAGAACCTGGCATCCACTTT